CTGCACCCGCGGCGGACTCACATTAGACCTCGCCATCCCTGGGGGGCTGCGATCTGTGAAACTGTCACCATTTTCGAGGCCTGCTGGGGGGCTGGGCACAGTGGGTACACACCGCGAGCTGCGATCTGTGAAACTGTCGCCACTTCCGAGGCCTGCTGGGGGGCCCAGCACAGTCTGCACCCACGGCGGATTCAAATGGGACCTCGCCATCCCTGGGGGGCTGCGATCTGTGAAACTGTCGCCACTTTCGAGGCCTGCTGGGGGGCCCAGCACAGTGGGTACCCACGGCGGACTCAAACTGGACCTCGCCATCCCTGGGGGGCTGCGATCTGTGAAACTGCCGCCACTTTCGAGGCCTGCTGGGGGGCCCAGCACAGTGGGTACCCACGGCGGGCTCAAATGGAACCTCGCCATCCCTGGGGGGCTGCGATCTGTGAACCTGTCGCCACTTCCGAGGCCTGCTGGGGGGCACAGGAAAGTCTGCACCCACGGCGGATTCAAATTAGACCTCGCCATCTTTGAGGGGCTGCGATCTGTGAAACTGTCGCCACTTTCGAGGCCTGCTGGGGGGCCCAGCACAGTGGGTACACACGGCGGACTCAAACTGGACCTCGCCATCCCTGGGGGGCTGCGATCTGTGAAACTGCCGCCACTTTCGAGGCCTGCTGGGGGGCCCAGCACAGTCGGTACCCACGTCGGGCTCAAATGGGACCTCGCCATCCCTGGGGGGCTGCGATCTGTGAAACTGTCGCCACTTTCGAGGCCTGCTGGGGGGCCCAGCACAGTGGGTACCCACGGCGGATTCAAGTGAGACCTCGCCACCCCTGGGGGGTTGCGATCTGTGAAACTGTCGCCACTTTCGCGGCCTGCTGGTGGGCCCGGCACAGTGACGTCACACGCAGATTCAAATTAGACCTCGCCATCCCTGGGGGGCTGCGATCTGTGAAGCTGTCGCCACTTTCGAGGCCTGCGTGCGGGGCCCAGCACAGTGACGCCTCCCAAGTAGCGTACACATCAAGTTGATTGTCCATACAAGTTTCGGCCAACTCCTCGTTTCCATTGATACAAATGGGTTGGGTACGTCACAGGGTAATTATTCCCAACCCTCCTGCGTTGGGTTCTCGTTTTGAATAGAGCACTGCTCGCGCGTCTCCTTCCCACGCGCGTCTCCTTTTCACCCCCTCCCGTCCCTCTCGTCCCCCCTGCTTTTGACCTCGCCATCCTTGGGGGGCTGCGATCTGTGAAACTGTCGCCACTTTCGAGGGCTGCTGATGGGGCCTAGCACAGTGGAAACCCACGGCGGGTTCAAGTTAGACCTCGCCATCCTTGGGGTGGCTGCGATCTGTGAAACTGTCACCACTTTCGCGGCCTGCTGGGGGGCCCAGCACAGTTGGTACTCACCGCGGATTCAAATTTGACCTCGCCATCCTTGGGGGGCTGCGATCTGTGAAACTGTCGCCACTTTCGAGGCCTGCTGGGGGGCCCAGCAAAGTGGGTACTCACCGCGGACTCAAATTAGACCTCGCCATCCCTGGGGGGCTGCGATTTGTGAAACTGTCGCCACTTCCGAGGCTTGCTGGGGGGCCCAGCACAGTCTGCACCCACGGCGGATTCAAATGGGACCTCGCCATCCCTGCGATCTGCGAAACTGACGCCACTTTCGAGGCCTGCTGGGGGGGGCCAGCACAGTGGGTACTCACCGCGGACTCAAACTAGACCTCGCCATCCCTGTGGTGCTGCGATCTGCGAAACCGTCGCCACTTTCGAGGCCTGCTGTGGGGCCCAGCGCAGTGGGTACTCACCGCGGACTCAAATTAGACCTCGCCATCCCTGGGGGGGCTGCGATCTGTGAAACTGTCGCCACTTTCGAGGCCTGCTGGGGGGGGCAGCACAGTGGGTACCCACCGCAGATTCAAATTAGACCTCGCCATCCCTGGGGGGCTGCGATGTGTGAAACTGTCGCCACTTTCGAGGCCTGCTCGGGGCCCAGCACAGTGGGCACACACGGCGGACGCAAACTGGACCTCGCCATCCCTGGTGGGTTGCGATCTGTGAAACTGTCGCCACTTTCGAGGCCTGCTGGGGGGGCCAGCACAGTGGGCACTCACCGCGGACTTAAATTAGACATCGCCATCCCTGGGGGGCTGCGATCTCCGAAACTGTCGCCGCTTTCGAGGCCTGCTGGGGGGCCCAGCACAGTGGGCACTCACCGCGGACTCAAATTAGACCTCGCCATCCCTGGGGGGCTGCGATCTGCGAAACTGTCGCCACTTTCGAGGCCTGCTGGGGGGCCCAGCACAGTGGGTACTCACCGCGGACTCAAATTAGACCTCGCCATCCCTGGGGGGCTGCGATCTCTGAAACTGTCGCCACTTTCGAGGCCTGCTGGGGGGCCCAGCACAGTTGGTACTCACCGCAGACTCAAATTAGACCTCGCCATCCCTGGGGGGCTGCGATCTGTGAAACTGTCGCCACTTTCGAGGCCTGCTGGGGGGCCCAGCACAGAGACGTCACACGCAGATTCAAATTAGATCTCGCCATCCCTGGGGGGGCTGCGATCTCTGAAACTGTCGCCACTTTCGAGGCCTGCTGGGGGGCCCAGCACAGTGACGCCACACGCAGATTCAAGTTAGACCTCGCCATCCCTGGTGGGTTGCGATCTCTGAAACTGTCACCACTTTCGAGGCCTGCTGGGGGGCCCAGCTCAGTGTCGCCACGCGCGGACCCAAATTAGACCTCGCCATCCCTGGGGGGCTGCGATCTGAGATCCCCGCCTTCGAAGTGGCTAGGGTTGCTCAGCGATCGTAACTAATCAGCTTTATCTCGTCCTTGTCCTGTAGCCAGTGTCCTGCGAGTGTCCCGAATTTCGTCGGCAGGCATATGTAACCCTCGTTCCGTCATCGCCCCCTTTATAAAGTGTCCTAAACTATTTGCGCCCCGCGTTTGCGCAGGGGTTGGGTACGTCGCCAGGGTAAGTTGTGTGTTTTTATTTGTGTGTCCCAGAGCCACTTCAGAGGAGTATCTTGGATTACCTTGCGGGCAAAGACACGCACGAAGTCGAACAGAGCGCGGAGGACGGATGTTCGAGCGACGGCGAAACTGCGGAGACGGCGATGCCGTCGTCTGCAGAGCCGTTCGAAGCCGGCCCCTGGACTCAAGAGGCAGATCTCCTGTGTGGACAGTGGGGTGGGCCCAGGGGGGGGAATGCATCGACGCCCAATCGCCCATTGATCGCCGAGGGGGGCCCGAGAGCCCTCCCCTCACAGAGGCGTATGGCTTCGCTGCCGGGGGCCTTTCAAATCGCAGACCCCTCGGCGGCGCATCGCGTGGCAGCTCTCTGTGTGGACTGCAGCAAGCTTGCGCGGCGATGCCCGAGAGGCAAGCCGGACGCCCCGCAGGTCGGGAGTCGCTTGCACGCCTGCGTCGGCCACGCGCTGCTCGAAAAAGGCCGTAAAGGGGGGGGGGCAATGCCACGCATGTAAAGCTGTCAGGGTCGTGTCTGGAACTTCCCGGGGCCTGGCGAGGGCCCCCCGAGGCTGACAACGGGGCAAAACACCGTCTTGAGCTTCCCGATGCCGTGCAACCCTGACGTGCGATGAGCTGGATGTTTTTTCATCGCGGGGTCCCCAGACGTGCCGACCCATTCCCCGAGACCGGTTTTCCATACTGACTCTCTTGTTGACGTTTTTGGGGGCACGGGAAAGGCCGAGGCCGAAAACGGCGAAGGGCCGCCTTTTTTGATTTTTTCACCACGTGGGCATATCTGGGAAGAGAAGGCGCCAGACCCTCCACCTCCGCCTTTCACACCTTCAGATCTCCGCGGAAGGTGCGGAAGAATTCGTCGGAATCCAGGGACATCTTACGCAATCCAGGGAGTCCCTCACAGATCAGATCGAAGACGGAGCGGAAGGTTAGGGCGGAAGGTCGGGAAAATTAAGGGGGAGGGGAAAGAGCACGCTCCAGGTTCAGGCGGGCCAGCTCTTCCGAGCCGCGTTTGGCCGCCGTGCATAGCGAGAATTCCAGGGCCCCTGTGCTAAACTGAGCCCTCGATTTGCCAGGATCGGCACTTGCAGCCGTGTGTCCCTGGTCGAAACATCCTCCCTTTTCTTGGGCGTGTATTAATGGGGGTCGGTAAATGGGGAGGGGAAGAAAGGTGCCTTTGTCGGGTCCCAAAAGCCTCCTTTTGGACCCGAAAGGCACCTCATGTTTCGCCCCTCCATTTGTCGCGGCCCACTGTAGTGGCATGCAAAAGACGTCTTGCGGAAGTACTTGCAGACATTCTATCTCAAAGCCACGTCGGAGAATTGGTACGCCATCCTCGAAGACGACAACGTCCGTCAACTTGAAGACGGCTTCGGCGATGAGTCGCGCTGAGCGCAAGCAGCGACGCTACATCCCCATCCCCGCAGTCGGGATTTTGTCTGCTGTAGTTGCGCTCGTTCGTTTGATCCAGGGATGGTTGGAGTGTTTTCAGGCAGCATCCACCAGGAAACCTGCGAGACAGCATCGTCGCCGTCGTGTTTCCTCTCAGAATATGTCCCCAGAGCCCTCCCAGAGTCCATCGAGGCACGCTCTTACGAGCAACGTCTGGCCGCCGTTCGGCCGGGAGACCCGCCCGAAGCGCCCCACGAGACCTCCGAGACGGCGTTGTCGTCGTGAGATCCGCTCAATGTCTATCCCTGGACCCCTCCCAGCCAGACTGAATCCTGGCCAGCTCTTCCGAGCCAGGTTCAGCCGTGCGTGCACGGCGACAGCTCCTTAAGACGCACACCCCAAAACATCCGAGGCGTCGATGTCGTCGTCGTTGTGGTCGTCGTCTTCGTCCTCGTCCTCGTCCTCGTCGTCGTCTAAAGGTCCCCAGAGGCCACCAGAGGGGCCTAGAGGCACAAACACGGCAAGCAAAAGCGTTCGAACATTTAGTCGTTTTATTCGTCGTCTTCTTCATCGTTGATGTCATCGTTTTCGTTGTCGCCCTCGCCGATGCAGCCGATGCAGCCGAGGATACACGGCACCAGCCTGGACTTCGTGTGGTGGTTCTTCTTCCGATGTTGCGGGATGTGCCGCCGAGCAGGAGGAGGAAAGACGGAGGAGGGGGGAATCGGCACCACCTGAGTACAGATTCACCGTTGCTAGATCAGGCAAGGGCATAAACGTGAGCTTTTGGTGGACCGCGCGGATTTCTCTGCCTTGCGTGGGGCCCCCTCTGGCGGCGCTTGCGGCGCCTCCCTTGGGACCAGGTCGGGCGTGTCCTCCGACGGGCGGAGTTTGAAGAACAAAGGCAGCAGACGCATCGTCCCCGGAGTGGTTCTGGACCTTAGTGGGCCCCCGAAACGGCAGGGCCGTTTTTCACCGTTTCCGAAAAAGTTTCCCTTGAAAATGGCAACGGCAGTAAAGCGGCGACCGGGAACGGCAACAAAAACGGCTCCAGGATTGTAACCAGAGCGGGAACCCGTAAAAGAACGGTGACGGAACCGGTAACCGGCAAAAAAACGGCCTTAACGAAGTTCTGGACTATTCTGGCGCATGCCTCCTGCACGGGGACATGCCCAGCTTCACTCGTGGGCCGCTCGGCGCGCCAGGGTTAGGAGGGACAATAAAGACACAGTCACAAGTAATCGTCGATTCCAAAGAAAATATGGGAAAGTATGGGAAGGGGGGGAAGACAACAACCCAGAACATATGGGAAGATATGGAGAATCCTGTTATTTGTGTCGATTTATTTGTGTGTCCCAGGGCCCCGGGGCGTCCGTGCGCGGACCTCGGGCAGCGTGCTGCGCAGGCCGCAGCGGCTGGCGCTCGCCGGCCCTGAAGGCGGGACCTCCCCCAGGAGCCTGTCTTCCAGCAGTGGCGAAGCGTCCCTGCTCGCCTATAGGCCCACCAGAGAATGGTCTGAGGACCTTGTGTGTTGTGTGGTCTGCGCACGAAATGTTCTTAGAAAACTTCTGGCGGAGTCTGTCTTGTCAACACGTCGGATCTATGTCCTAAGTACATGTTTAAACATTGTTATGTATCATCGGAACATGTCGTGGTAGGCCTATAGAAATGCCAGGACGGTCGGTCCCTGTTCAATGTATTCCTAGAGTCAGACAGGCTTACTTGCATGGCGTTCCTCCCCTCGCCCCTCTTCAAGCGAAAGCTAGCGTGCAAGTGCCTCCGGGCTTGCGTAAGCTCCGCACGTGCAAGTCGCTTGCGGCTTGCTTCAGGTTCAGCCCCCCCGCCCCCCCCACCCCCAACGTCCATGCAAGCAACCTTGCTGGAGTCTAAAGAACAGGCTCCAGCAGGACCCCCTGTTCCGACCCCCCCTGGGGCCCGCCCGGACCTTGGGGGGCGCCCCCCCCGCCCCCCTGGCAGGGAAGGTAGAGGGAAAGGAGTCGACCTAACTACGACAGGGCTCGAACTAAACGGTGTTTTGACGATTTCGTGGGCAGTTTTCGTTTTGATGTCGTTTTGTATCAAAGGCTGGTTGAAGGCAAATAGGGAAAAACGAAACTTACTCACTGCGTGGAGCTCCCCATATGTGCATCTCATGTTTTATGATATGCCAGAGTGAACGTTTCTATAGGAGTGCCTGACTATAAGGGCGCGTCCACGTGGTCGACAGGTCCGACGAAGACGGTTAAACACCGATGTGCGTGAGTATGAGTGAACGTGAGGTTTGAATACGATTGAATATGTGCCCATCCTCTTCGTTCCTCCTCCTCCTCCTCATAGATCATAGCGGTGACGTGGGAGGTTTGGGTGTCTTGGGAGACTCGGGGAACGTCGGAGACTTGGGAGAAGACGTGGTAGACTTGGGGGCCTTGGGAGCCTTGGGAACTTTGGGGGACTTAGGAGACACGGGGCACTTGGGAGATTCGGGAGACTTGGGGGGCTTGCGAACCTTGGGAGACATGGGAGACTTGGGCGACATGGGAGACTTGGGAGAGTTGGTCGCCTCGGGAGACTTGACAGACTTAGGAGATTTGGTATTCCTGCTGGGAGACATGGAAGACGTGGTCGGCGTGCTGGACTTGGGGGATTTAAGAGACTTGGGACATGGGACATTTGGCAGACTTGGGAAGCTTGGGAAGCTTTTGAGGCTTGGGCGGCTTAGGAGACCTGACAGACTTGGGAGACTTGGGGGACTTTCAGCGCCCCGCCTGAGACATCCTCACAATCTGCTCTCCAAGCGAAGGATGTTGGGGCAGATAACAGGCAGACCGCTTGAGACATCCCTACAAAACGGCCGCGAACGGGACCGTGTCATACCTCTCGGCGGCCCCCCTTAGGGGTGTTGAAACCAGCGCCCCGCCTGAGACATCCTCACAAAGAGCTCTCCAAGCGAAAGATGTTGGGGCAGGAAAAAGGCAAACCGCTTGAGACATCCCCACACAACGGCCGCGAACGGGACCGTGTCATACCCCTTGGCGGTTCCCCTTAGGGGTGCTGAAACCAGCGCCCCGCCTGAGACATCCTCACAATCTGCTCTCCGAGCGAAGGATGTTGAGGCAGAAAACAAGCAAACCTTTTGAGATATCCCGACAAAACGGCCGCGAACGGGACCGTGTCATACCCCTTGGCGGCTCCCCTTGAAACCAGCGCTCCGCTTGAGACATCCTCACAATCTGCTCTCCAAGCGAAAGATGTTGGGGCAGGAAACAGGCAAACCGCTTGAGGCATCCCCACAAAACGGCCGCGAACGGGACCGTGTCATACCCCTCGGCGGCTCCCGTGTTGAGACCAGCGCCCCGCCTGAGACATCCTCACAATTTGCTCTGGTAGCCAAGGATGTTGGGACAGAAAACAGGCAAACCGCTTGAGACATCCCCACAACATGCCCGCGAACGGGACCGTGAAATAACCCCTAGCGGCTCCCTTCATCAGGGGTGCTGAAACCAGCGCCCCGCCTGAAACATCCTCACAATCGGCTCTCCAAGCGAAAGATGTTGGGGCAGGAAACAGGCAAACCGCTTGAGACACCCCCACAAAACGGCCGCGAACGGCACCGTGAGATAACCCCTTGGCGGCTCCCCTTAGGGGTGCTGAAACCGGTGCCCCGCTTGAGACATCCTCACAATCTGCTCGGATAGCGAAGGATGTTGGGACAGACAACAAGCAAACCGCCTGAGACATCCCCACAACATTGTTGCGAAAGGGACCGCGAAAACACCCCTGGCGGTTCCCCTTAGGGGGGCTGAAGCCAGCGCCCCGCCTGAGACACTGCTGTGTGTGGAATCTATCAGACACTGAAAAGGTCTAAGTACGAGCAGGTCTGAGTATGAGTCGGTCTGGGAACAAGTCTGAGTATTAGTTAGTCTGGGCATGAGTGAGTCTCAGCATGAGTAACTCTGAGTAGGAGTAGGTCTGAGTATGAGTAGGTCTGAGTCTGAGTAAGTTTGTGTCTAAGTCAGCCTGGGTATGAGTAAATCTGAGTGTGAGTAAGTCTGGGTATGAGGAGGAGGAAAACGAGAAGAGGGAGAAGACGGAGTAGGAGGCGTCCAAGTAATAACAATAACCCCATCATAGGATATGGGGAACAAAACGAAAACGAAAAACACTGGTTAGGACGACCCCTCATCTACGACGCTCTCTTCCTTGTTACTCGATTTCCTTGTTACTGACGACGACGACGGCCCAAACGGAAAAGCGCATCGCACTTGCCGAAGGGTCGGTGGATTTGTATGCCTTCTTGTCTTCCCGGCTTCTACTTGCGCTTCTATTTCTCTTTCTAAGTGTACCCTGCGTGGCGGGCGGTCGCTCTCTCGCCACACCGCTCGGGGAGGGAAGACGCGCCATCAGATCGTTGCAGCCGCAGCGCCATACAGTGGCGGCCCAAGCCAAGAAACACCCTGCTTGCCTCCAGTGTGCTCTGGATGTCTTGTGGGTTTCGATGGCGTTGCTGTGGAATGTCGTGACGTTCCCACACCGAAGAACTCGGTGGACGTCCTGGGGTCTCAGGGTTGGGTTTCTCGTGGAAGGTTTCTTGTGGTCGAGCCCCTACAGTATCTTCACATCCAACGCGCGTCCCCCACATATAAACACACAGCACACGCTGGTATGCACTCTTGCGCCCCAGGGAAGGGAGATGCAGAGAGAGAGGCAGAGAGAGAGGGGGGGAGGGGAAGCGAGAGGAGGGGACAGGTGGAGGTTTGATAGACATCTGGGCGACGCCAAAAAAGAAGGGTCGTCTGCGCCGGCACTGGCGCAGAAGTGGCCCGCGCAAGGTCGCGCGAAAGTGCCCTCGTCTCCGTTGTGGCGTACCGCGCCGGCGGCCTGCGCAAGTCACCGCGCAAGGTCGCTACGTCATCTCACGTAGTCTGCACGAACGAAATGGGCACGGAAAGAATGGGTACAATGCCCAACAGGAGTTCATGTTTATTTTGAACAGGACTCGCTGTCCGCGCCTCCGCGGCCGCCTGCCCGACAGCCGCCTGCCCAACAGCCGCCGCTGCTGGTTTGGGACAACATTTGTTGTTGGGCATTGTACCCATTATTTCCGTGCCCATTTCGGGCGTCCAAACGTAAGACCCGTTCTGGATCGTCGCCCACATGTCTACAGACAGTGTTTTGCAGAATTCGGGTTCAGGTTCGGAATGGGCCAGCTCGTCCTCTTCCACAGCTGTTCGCTCCTCCAGCGCTCCTCGTGCACCCGCCTTTGATGTTGGGCCCCCAAGCGTGCGTCGTTCTTAATTCAGCGTGTGTTTCTTGTTGCGGTTTGACTGTAGCCAGCGGCGAGCGAGGGGGGGAAGTGAGAGGCGGCGGGCCGTCGCAGAAGGCTCGGAAGTCCCCGGCCTTGTGTGAAGTTTTGCAAGCTTCCCTTGAAGACACAGAAGCCTTCTCAGAAGGCGCGAGGTCTTCTGAGAAGAGCCCCGCTGCCTTCTGAGATCTTTCTCATGTTCAGTTCCCCCCTCGCCCGCCGCCATTGTGTGGGGGGAGGGGGGCGACGGGCCCAAAGGCGCTCAAGAGGCTCCGAGATGCCCTACTGGACCCTGGAGACGCCTCGAAGAGGCCCCCAATGGGCCCCAAGTTTCCCCAAGGAGGCCCACAGGAGGCCGCCCAATAGGCTGAGACGCCCCCA